CCCCCCCCCCCCCACATGAGGCAGACCCCTCCCTTCAAGTGTTGGGACTTGGAGCTTTAGAAATAAACTGAGTTGAGTTAAATCTGATGGACCAGGTTCTACATCCATATTTGAAAGTGATATTTTCTTCAACATTTGATGGATTTGCACTCGTCGTGTAAACACGGTTATTGTTCAATTTGTGGATTTGTTTCTTGTTCACAGATTATTTTATTTTAGTGATTCACAGTTTAATTCTTGTTTAGTGGTTTTTTCATCTGTGGGTTAGAATCAAGTTGAACTAAAGGCCGTGTCTCTTCTTTAAACATGTTGGAGGGAAATATTCTTGAGATCCAATAATTTTGTGTGTTTTTATGATTTTCAGCTGAATTAACTTTAACAGATTATTTAATAAAGTCATTAAAGTGAAAACAGGATTTCAGGATAAAGCCAGCACTGTTTATTTATTTTAATCTTCACTGATTAAAAAAAAATAAAACAACATTATTTTTTTATATAAAATGTTTTTAAAAATCATTTCCATCCTCCATCCCGGTCCACCCTTCTGCCGGGATCGGGGTTCAGCTTTCATGAGCAGGCGAGGCCGGGGTCCGGGCAGCGGCCTTCTGCGAGTCCGCAGCTCGAGGCTCTGGTGGAGAGGACCGGGCGGACCGGCGGACCGGGCGGAGCTCTGTCCAGCTCGCTCTCAAGTTTGTCGTCGCCACCAAACACAAAAATCACCTGCACCTCAGCGTCAGACCACGGTGTTGGCGTTATTGCTTTTAAAATATTAAAAATAGATCCAGCCGCTGCTCGGAGTAATTGCAAATGGCGGATCGATGAAAAGTTTTCTGAAACATCCAATGACTCCTCCCCCTGACCATCAGTGACCGACAGCGTTCTGACGTCACGTTCTTGTGCCGGCTCGGTTGGACCCCTTGAGAAGAAGGGACCAAAAAAAGGGGGCGATTCAGCTAAAAAGTACGAGTGTAAAAGCACTCCAACCATAGTGAGCCGAGCCTGAGCCGAGCCTGAGCCGAGCCTGAGCCGAGCCTGAGCCGAGCCTGAGCCTGAGCCGAGCCTGAGCCGAGCCTGAGCCGAGCCCGAGCCGAGCCTGAGCCGAGCCGAGCCTGAGCCTGAGCCGAGCCTGAGCCGAGCTGAGCCCGAGCCTGAGCCGAGCCTGAGCCGAGCCTGAGCCGAGCCTGAGCCGAGCCGTCACGGTGGAAAAGGAGCAGCAGTAACTGTGTCATCACTTCAGGACTCTGGGATCCGCTCTGGTGTTGTCCTTGGACATTCCCCCCACACCCCTCAAGAATCTTTATGATCTCTCTGGAGGAAACCGTTCATTATTCCATCCTCATCAGAACTCCTTCAGAGCCTCCGGGAGCATCCTTGTCTCCCCCCCAGAATGTCTACGTCTCCATGTGCCGTTTGTGCAGGGTGTTTTTTTAATACCAGGGTCTTTGTTCAGCCAAGAAGAAAGAGTTTTGTCTCCAAGTCCTACACGTGTCTCTGTAAATGAGTCTTGGAGGCTCAACGTGAATCACATGTTAAATAAAGGTTGAATGATTACATCATCAACATGCGCAGCTTAACGATTTGTTTTGTCAAATCAGCTTCAATTTATCCAAAGCTTTTTTCATGTGTTCATCATTTTCCTCTTCACTGCAGCTACTTTCTTACTGGTCATTTACAAACTGTAAAAAGTGTCAAATGATCACTGGTGTCCATCTCCCTCTCATCGCCTCAACATCTCTTACATTAGTAAAAATATTATCAGCACAACTGGTAGAGCTGCTGCCTCTCAGTGAGCAGGTCCCCGGTTCAAATCCCAGTCCGGGGGCATTTCTAGGGGGGAGTTTGCTCCAGTGACCCAAAATGGAAGAAGCGGGTAAAGATAATGAATGGATGGATAAAGACTCAAAATATGCATTGAATTAATAAATGTGCAAATATTATTTGAGTCATTTGATTTCTCAAATCTATATTTAAGTCCTCACACATAAAATATTTTGTTACAACTCTTTCAAAGAGCTCCGTGATTCTATCAGTAAATAGATCTATATTTGAACCTGGTATAGATCTACAGACACAACTGATTATTATATTTTTAGAGTTCTCATTTAATATCTCAACCATAATTATTTTCATTACAAGACTCTGAGGACCAGGTGGACTGTGAGGACCAGATGGACTCTGGGGACCAGGTGGACAGTGAGGACCAGGTGGACTGTGAGGACCAGGTGGACTGTGAGGACCAGATGGACTCTGAGGACCAGGTGGACTGTGAGGACCAGGTGGACTCTGAGGACCAGGTGGACTGTGAGGACCAGGTGGAATCTAAGGACCAGGTGGACTGTCAGGAATAAGTGGACAGTGAGGACCAGGTGGACTGTGAGGACCAGGTGAACTCTGAGGACCAGGTGGACTGTAAGGACCAGGTGGACTGTGAGGACCAGGTGGACAGTGAGGATGGAGACATTTAGTAAGAAGACACAGAGACTCTGAGACGATCTTTAATTAAAATGTTTTCAGGAACAAACAAACGGAGCGGACAAAAACCAAACACGCCTGAAGTTCTGATTCAGTCCTTTTAAACCAGTTCTGGGTTTTTACCAGGAAGTTCTGGTCCAAACAGGTCGACTGCTTCAGTCCCATTTTCTGTCTTGGACGAGTTAAAAACGTTAATAAAAAAAAGATGGAGGTTCTAAAAGGTGTGGGGGACGGGTCACACTGACGGCCCACACAGAGTCGTGAGACGGTTCTGTCAGGAGACAAAAACAGAATTAGACTCACAGTCCAGAACTGAACCGAGACACTTCAGGATGAAGGCTCACCTGCAGCAGCCGGATGCTCTTCAGAGCCGTCTCATCCAGCAGAGACAGGTCCACGGTGTCCATCTGACTGGACAGCAGCTGCATGCTCTGAAGGACAGAGTGCAGGTTTAGAGGACAGGTTTTCTTTGGGTGTCACGGGTCCTACAGCCGGGGACACTCACCTCTCCGTTCCCAACGGGGACGCTGAGGACGACGTCCTCGCGTCCCACTGCGACAGGAGAACCGTTCACCGAGATGCTGAAGACTCGCTCTTGGTGCCGGGGGACTCTCGCAGGAGTAATAGGAAGTCTGAGGAAACAGGAAGTGGCAGAGTTGGACTTCCTCCACCAGAAACCACCAGGGTGCTAATGATCCATTGTTAGGCTGATGGTCCTTCTTGAGCATGTGATCAGCTGGTTCTGGTTGTCAGCAGCAAACTGGTTGATCCACTCTGAGAAGGTGCTATTTAAGAGACTGAGCTGAAAACAGCACCTCAGACTGAGGAAGTCTTTCAGATGAACGACGAAACGTTTCTACAATTATTTTTTTTGCTTTGTTTTGTTTTATTAATGTCCAGAGGACCAGATTTAACTTTTTTAGATTTTTCTACCTGGATTACTGAGCAGCATCAGGATATGTAGGACTGAGGGTTGCAACTCTAAATGTGGGGACAATGACAGGCAAAGGTAGAGAGTTGGCTGACATGATGCTGAGAAGGAAGGTAGATGTTTTATGTGTCCAAGAGACCAAGTGAAGGGCAGCAAGGCTCACAGCATTGGAGCAGGGTTCAAACTGTTTTACCATGGTGTGGATAGAAAGAGGAATGGGGTGGGGGGTGGGGGTCCTGAAGGAGGAGTTAGTAAAGAATGTAGTAGAGGTGAAAAGAGTGTCAGATAGGGTGATGTGTTTGAAGATAGAAGTAGAAGGTCTGATGCTAAATGTTGTCAGTGGTTATGAACCACTCCACCCTAACCCATGGAGAAAGATCTGGATGAAGTGATAGAGAGTATTCCCAGGGAGGAGAGAGTGGTGATGGGAGCAGACCTGAATGGACAGGCTCTACGTCACCTGAAGACATTAGTGGGTCAGCGTTAGGGCTGGGTACCTTTCTAAAAAATCTGTACCCGTACCTTCACTTCAGTCTCGGTTTCTGGACGGTTCTTTTTTCGGTACCAACTTTATAAATAATTTTAATTCTAACAAGAATAAAACAACGTTACACATTACAGTACAAATCTTGAGTTTTATTTTTTAACTCTGGTATTTTTCTTTTCCAGCAGTTTTCTTACATCAACAATAATTTCCAGGTCAAAGACCAGTTACAAACCAGTGACAGGTCAGTGTCTAATGGTCACTGCTTCACACTGAGGACCTTTTCACTGAACAGTTCTTCTTCAGAAACATGAACATGTCTGTTCTCTCTGGACACAAACCAGCTGCTCCTGGCTGACGGTGTCTCCAGCAGTAGAACATGTTCACTCTGAGGCTGTAGATGATGATTGTTGCACACACAGATACCTGGTTGCCAGTTTGACATATTGTCCCTCACATCCCACCAGCAGGTCACTGGATTCACTGAGGTTAGAGATGATGCAGACTTCTGCACCTCTGTGTCTCTGCCTGAATCTTCTCTGTGGTTCTCTGGGGTTTAGGGCTCTGATCATCTCCCTAACTGACATGAGAACAAAACATCAACAATAATATGGTTGTGTTATTATTGATCAAAACCATTATCTAGGTTGAGATATACTGGTTTAACTGGTCAACAACATCCTTTACAGTTTACTTACCTCCACCATGCAGCCTCCACTGTAGAAAAAGGCAGAAAACTTTTAACAACAGTTTGTGACTGTCCTGTGCCCCCCCCCCCCCACTTTTAATTTGTCTGTCTTCCTCACATCAGGGTCAGAGGCTCCTGTGAGCAGAACAAACAAACGGTGAACATTAGTGAACTGTTTAAGCAGCTGACCTGATGGATGAGCACATGTTTACAAGCTTCATCTGTTGCTGTCCATCTTTAGTTAGCTTCTGAGTTTAGCTACGTAGATAAAATAAATTTACACACTAATATCTTAAAGTTAGCGTTACATGGATTCTAGTTTAATTCACCACGATGCACGTGTTCAGCTGCAGTAACGTTAACAAACGTAAACTCACCAGCTGAAACAGACGCAGCTCCGTCCTCGGAGTTCTTTGATGAAGACGAGTCCGATCGTGGAGATGATGAATCAGGACGTTCAACACTCACCATACAGCTGTAGGGCAGCTCTATACAGCTCTGGGTGTAAACATGAAGTCTGTTTGCTATACGTCTGCGTTTGACCAGCCTGCGTGCTGAAACCACGTGACACGTTACAGCCAATACTGAAACTTGACACTGAAAGAAGAGCGACGTTTCAATCCGTGCACCGACCGGTGCAGTTCGGTCAGTGCTAGAAAAGAGCCTCGGTTCGGTACACAGCCCTAGTGCAGCGTGTCCCGACGGGACTGTGAGGAGGACATTTAAATGTCCCGACCTTCAGGAAACAGGAACTTTACTCTGAAAAGCAACTGAAGCTTGTTATTTTTGGAAATTGATTTTTCTTTAACATTAGGAAAGTGGAAATAAATATTTTTACAAACTGTGATTTCTGTTTCCAAACTTATCAGAAAACATGAAAAATACATTTTTCAGAAATGTTTACACTATTTACTAAACAACAAGAACAAGCAGCATCTAAAACTGGCAGATGAAAGAGAAGCTGTTTTATTTTGAAAACTGCTGCTTCCTGTCTCTGCCTTCTTTTAATTTAACGTCAGTCTCAGATTGTTCAGAACAGACGAGTGAGGGATCAAATATGAAGTTCATGCAGGACGTGTAGAATCCGCAGCGATGCTGGGGCATCACGTTCACAAGACACAACTAGTCTCTTTCTTATTTTCCATACATTTTAAAGAATTCACGTATATTCACATTTATATACAAGTGGTTTTTAAAGTGAGTAAAACTGAGGAGGGGGGGATTTCTGTACTTTATCCGTGTGAATAAAAAGTGTAGCCAAACAAAGTAACATCGATACAGACTTCCTGTTTGTCCACAGAACAACAACAGGTGGTCAGTTGTTTCAACATCACTGTCACAGAATGTGAACGTGTTATCAACCACCGGTATATTAAAGCTGGTCTGGAAGCTCAGTCCTCACCTCCTTCTACAGGTGTGCAGTGGAGAGCATCCTGTGCTCCAGCATCAACGTGTGGCATGGAGGCTGCACAGCTGCAGAAAGAAAAGCTTTGCAGAGAGTGGTGAAGGCTGCACAGAAGATGTTGGAGTCAGTCTCACCACCATCTATTTGAATTTGGGCCCAAAAACTTTGATCCGACCCGGCCCCAGCCTCCAGTCATAATTTCTGAACCCCAGCCGACCCGACGAATTAACAGTAAGTACAGGTCTGAACCCGGAAACAAACCCTGAGTTTTAATTAGTTATTAACGACCGGGGACACGCAGCTGAATGAACGGGGCAGAAGATTCAGAGCTGAGAGGTGTCTGAACTAAAAAAAACATTTAATCAGTTTCTGCTGCGTTCTTCTGAATTACTGAGACACGTGCACGGACCCTGCTCTCACACGCCTGCTTTGTGATCTCATCTGTTTGGATCATCGGCCGCGCGCTTCCACTGAGTGCAGCGATGGATCTCTGCCTGGCAGTACAGTCCATCTGAAGCTTAACAGAACTTTTTAACACTTTCAGGGCCAGTCAGCTGCGTGAAATGGCCAGGTGTAGCTGGTGGAAGTATGGCAGGCCATGTTATCATATAATTGGATCACGGCTGATCCTGACCTAGATAAAAGCCCAAAACCGGCCCGGCCCACCCATTAATCACATTATAACGGTCCAGCCCTAATCCAGGTCGGTCTGGGCCGAGTTAGAAATGACAGCTCTACCACCATCACAGACATCTACACCTCCAGATGCAGGAAGAGGGCCACCTGCATCATGAAGGACCTCACTCACCCAGCACACACTTTTTGCCCCACTCCCCTCAGGAAGGAGGTTGAGGAGCATTAAGTGTAGAACCACTAGACTGAGGAACAGCTTCTACCCTGAGGCTGTTAGACTCATGAATCTCTAACCAGAATAATCACTGTGAAAAACCACATCATGTTGCTGCTGATCTGTTTCTTGTTGCTGCTGATCTGTTTCATGTCGTTGCTGATCTGTTTCATGTTGTTGCTGATTTGTTTCATGTTGTTGCTGATTTGTTTCATGTTGCTGCTGATCTGTTTCTTGTTGCTGCTGATCTGTTTCATGTTGTTGCTGATCTGTTTCATGTCGTTGCTGATCTGTTTCATGTCGTTGCTGATCTGTTTCATGTCGTTGCTGATCTGTTTCATGTTGTTGCTGATCTGTTTCATGTTGTTGCTGAT